TTCAATTTTTTTCCAAAACTCAATTTCAAAAGATCAACGGGTACAAGCCACATAGCCATATATCTATGCCCTGCTCCAAATTATCAATCCCATTAGGTGCCTCCTTTATGGACCACATAAGAAATGAGAGGTGAAAATGAATCCAAAGCCGTTCTCTGTGCATCCAAATTGGAACGGGCCAACATATTTGGTTCAGGATTTATAGCCTAATTTCTATGGTGCCACCTTCATTCGTGGGGCGGAGGATGAGCCTCCTAACAAAAGAACCACATATATCAGCCATAGGTCCTTTCAGAGCTCCAGAGCCAGGTCTTGGGATCAGCAGTGCTACCGTACCTGATTTCTCTATCAACCTTGGTCTTGCCTACTTCGACAGCTTCAAGTCTAGCACCTGTTAGTCTCAAGTGTAGCACCTCCCTGATCATCAAGGGCCTTTCCAAGTGGGCGCCCTCCCAACGTTCTTCTCGCTCTTCTTGTTGAACACACCCCTCTCAAAATATCTCGATAGCAGTCGATACTCTCTAATCAATATCTAAAGAGACGCTCGGAAGTCCAGTAATCATAATCTTCCTGGTAATCTCCCATCTTCTAAAAAATGACCCCTTATGTTCTACTTTATTTCTGATCTTGGTGAAAAAGTGGCAGAGGATTAACTTCATGGGCTTGGAGGGGCTCGCCATTCCCTATAGGCTCAATGGCGCTCAAACCATTTTTGTTTATGTCATTTTGTCACATAAATGTTATGTAGATACGTTCTAAGAGTAGACAATGACTTATTTATTGTGTACTTGTCTACGCTCCTTAGCATCAATACGATTTTTTAGCTTTCTTCCAATTCCATGCCCATTTTCAGGTCCNCTTTATTTCTGATCTTGGTGAAAAAGTGGCAAAGGATTAACTTCATGGGCTTGGAAGGGCTCGCCATTCCCTACAGGCTCAATGGCGCTCAAACCATGTTTTGTTTATGTCATTTTGTCACATAAATGATATGTAGATACGTTCAACTAGTAGGCAATGACTTGTTTATTGTGTACTTGTCTACGCTCCTTGGCATCAATACGATTTTTTAGCTTTCTTCCAATTCCATGCCCATTTTCAGGTCCCAACCCTATTCTCCATGTCACGATCCACGGCAGGTACCGGCATTCATGACTTGGTTGGAATTATCTGAAAACAAAAAGAAGTTTCTTCTCCATGCTGCTTCCATATCGCTGCAGGCCTTCTAGTTAGTTTACTTAATTTTCTCAAACGAAGAGCTGTTCAACGAATGAGCTACAATCTCATGTTCATCAAATAATCAGTGTGAAATGACATGAATAATTCCAAAGAATAGGCATAACTAGTAACGACAGCATCAGTTTAATTACCATGACATGCATGAAAGCAGGTGTATGGCTCTCCGTTCAACTGCAGCCTGATGTGTCGATAGATGAACTCAAACGATAGATGGGTCACACCATTGGATGATGAAGGATCGATTTATGATCCAATCCTTTTAAATCAGTTTTTGAAATTATTTTGTCCTTTTTCCGATGGATCCCTTTTCTAAGTGTTGCTGATTCACGAACATGCCCAAAGTCAGAGGTAATCATTGTGGTTACCGGTCGTTAAGGCCAAAGCCAGCCGGCTAGGGCAGGATGTCCTACCGCCGCAAGAAGTGATTTTCTTTCTTTTCTTATTTTTCACTTCTTTCTTGAAGCTAACATTTAAGTGATTAATGGCTACTACCTTTTACCTTGACCGCCTTTTCACATATTTGTCCTTCTTCGAATCATCCATCTTATTCATCTCAAGTGCCTCGTTTATAAACCACTATAAAAAAGTACAAAACAGAGCCGTTCTCTGTTTTTTCACTGAAATTAGGAACGGGAAGCATGATTGGCTTGCGATTTATAGGCCAATTTCTATGGTGACAGCTCCATTTTCGAGGAAGGACGAGTTTCCATAAAAATACCACATTGTTCGACCATGGGCCTTTTGAGACTGCAGCGCTAGTCTTCATGGTATCACCATATCAGATTTCTTTCTCGATAGAAAACCTGTCTCTTTCAGTCATTGTCACAAGTAACACTGGCTGCCTTGCGTCCGCAGCTCAAAAAGACTCATTGTATAATAGTTTCTAGGATTTTTTGTGAATTGCAATGTTCACAGCGTACTCTGGGAATGTTGATCACAGCTTAGTCTTCTCTGTTAGAACTCAGATATCAGAATATCTTACAGTCTTATATTTTTTGGTGTTCTCCGAATTAGTCCAGAACCTTCATTAGCTTGCGAGACCTTCTTGGACCGTTGAAATTGCGCAGAAATGACGCCACTTCCTTTTTTTGAAGCTCTATTAGTGTGCCCCATTCTTCACATAATGTGGTTTGCGTTAGCAGCCGAATATTGGAGCTCACATCTAGCTTCTCACAATGGGTATCATAAATCTGGACATTCCTCCTTTTTCGGAAAAACATCTGAAGGTCATTTCCATCGGGTCCAGAACCTTTCCGGAACAAACTGATACCACTGGTAAATCCTAAGATCAATAGTCCAAATTAGTGTGCGCCAATGGACTCCGTAATGTTTGATCCCTT